GGCTGTAGTGGCCGGGAGCGGCCACTGCACTCCAGTCTGGGCAACAGAGTGAGACTCCAAGTCAAAAAAAATAAATAATATATCCAAATAAAAAAATGGTCAGGCATAGTGGCTCACACCTGCAATCCCAGCACTTTGGGAAAGGGAGGCAAAAGGATTGTCTGAGCCTAGGGATTCGAGACTAGCTTGAGCAATTTGGTGAGACCTTATCTCTACAATAAATGAAAAAAATTAGCCAGGCGTGCAAGTGCATGCCTGTAGTTCCAGCTACTTAGAAGGCAGAGGTAGAAGGATTGCCTGAGCCCACGAGGTTTAGGCTGCAGTGACCATAAACGTGCCATTGCCAGCCTGGGCAACAGAGAGAGACTACAACTCAAAAAAAAAAAAAAAAAAAAAAAAGAGTATTATAAAAAATTCTAAAACTCCTTTCTTCAGGATTGCAATTAATCTCTATTTACCAAAAGAAAGACTGGAAGTTTGCAACAGTTCAAGCCTAACTAGGATCTACACATAATCCTCTATACAAAATAAAGTTGGGACCAGGCTCAGTGACTCAGCCTGTAATCCCGGCACTTTGGGAGGCCAAGGCGAGTAGATTGCCTGATCCCCTCGCCAAGTTGCCTGCGGGTTTGAGACCAATCCAGGCAACTTGGTGAAACCCTGTCTCTACAATAAATTTTTAAAAATTTGCTGGGTGTGGTAGTGCACGCCTGTAGTTCAACTACTTAGAAGGCTGAGGCAGAAGGATTGCCAGAGCCCAGCAGGTTGACAATGGGGTGGCCGTGAGTGTGCCACTGCACCACAGCCTGGGCGACGGAATAAAACTTCAACTCAAAAAAAAAAAAAAAAAGTAAGAAAGTTAGCTGGACACGGTGGCTCATGCCTATAATCTAGCTCTTAGAGAGGCTGAGATGGGAGTACTATTTGAGCCCAGAAGCTCAAGACCAGCTTTGGCAATATAGCAAGACATCATCTCTACAAAAAAATTTTTAAATGAGCCAGGTATGATGGCATGCACCCACGGTCCCAGATACTCAGGAGCTGAGGCAGAAGGATCAAGTCCAAGAGGCTGAGGCTGTGGTGAGCCATAATCAACAGAGTGAGACCCTGACTCAAAAAAAAATTTACCATTTGCCAGGCCCAGTGGCTCACACCTGTGATCCCAGCATTTTGGAAGGTGGAGGCAAGAGGACTGCTGGAGCTCAAGGGTTCAAGACCAGCATGGAAAACTTGGTGAGACCTCATCTCTACAATAAATCAAAAAAATCATCCATGTATGGTGCACAAACTTATGGTTTCAGCTACTTGGAAGGCTGAAGTAGAAGGATTACCTGAGCCCAGCAGGTCGAGGCTTCAGTAGCTGTGACTGTGACACTGTACTCCAGCCTGGGCAACAGAATGAGACTCCGACTCAATAAAAAAAACAAAAAAAAAAAGTTGGCTGGGACAATGCCTCATGCCTGAAGTCCCAACACTCTGGGAAGCCAAGATGGGAAGACTGCTTGAGCCCAGGAGCTTGAGACCAGCTTAGGCAACATGTAGCCCCAGCTACTTGGAAAGCTGAGGCAGAAGGATAACCTAAGCCCAGGAGGTCAAAGCTGAGGTGAGCCATGATGGTGTCACTGCACTCCAGCATGGATGACAGACTGAGATTCAGACTCAAAAAGAAAAAGAAAACAAAAAAAGAAAGTAACGGTTGGACATGGTAGATCACGTCTGTAATCCCAGCAGTTGGGGAGACCAAGGTAGGAAAACTGCTTGAAGCTAGGAGTTCAAGACCGGCATGGGTGACAGGAGACCTCATCGCTACAAAAAATTAAAGTGCTAGTCATTGTGGTGAGCACTTGTAATCTCAGCTACTCAGGACGCTGAGGCAGGAATATCCCTTGAGCCACACTGTTCAAGGCCACAATGAGCAATGATTGTGCCACTGTACTACAGCCTGGGCAACAGAGCAAGATTTTGCCTCATAAACAAAAGGAAGAATAAAGTTATGCGGCCAGGCACAGTGTTTCACACCTGTAATCCCAGCACTTTGCGGGGGGAAGGGGACTGCTTGAGTCCAGGGGTTCGAGACAAGTCTGGGCAACTTGGCAAGACCTCATCTCTACAATAAATCAAAAAATTAGCCAGGTGTGGTGGCACTCGCCTGTGGTTCCAGCCACTTGGAAGGCTGAGGCGGAAGGATCACCTGAGCCCAGCAGGTTGAGGCTATGGTGGCCATGAGCATGCCACTGCACGCCAGCCTGGATGACAGAGAATCCTACTAAAAAAAAAAAAAAAAGTATTCATGTGTGGGTAAATATAAATAACATATTAATGGGTAAGAGACACAATTAAGGAAAACCATATAACAAGATATTAAGGTCCAAATCCATAAATGTAGAAAAGTATAGAGGCAGGTCCAAGTTATCAGTTCTGAAATCACCTTTCAAAACAAGTTGACTTTGCAAAGTAACTTGATGTGAAAAAACCAGTGAACAAAGTTGAGAGCCTTATAACACTAAAAGCCCAAAAGCTTCAGAATATGGCTACTTGGTCTGCAGTTACATAGTAAATTACATTTATGATTCCTAATTATCATTAATACTAAAAGTTATTCTTACTAGTATAAATACTGCTACTATATTAATATAAGAACCTACCTTAAATGTTCGTACTTCCATACACCTTCATCTTGGCCTTCAGGTGGTTCAAGAATTTTGTCAATATTGGAGCAATCTGCTCTAATGTTCTGTTGAATATACTAAAAACAAAGAAGGTCTTACAGTTAACAAAAATATTATACCACATGGTAAACCTTATGTTAAATATATACAACTTATGTCATGTATATACAAATATATACATGACTGCTTTGGTGGTTCTAAATAGGAAATCAAATAAAGAATCATAATCAGTAACTCAGAAGAAAGTAGGCAACCCTTACTTATCTATTCTCTGATTTGACTTCACTGGGACAGGATCTACTACCTAAATGCAGATATTGCCTTTATGTATCAGGATTAGAACTGGGATCAGGATTGCAAACAATAATCTTCATATAAACATACATACTATGTAGATATAGCTGTGGTACATATTGTGTGATTCCATTTATATAAACTGTCCAGAATAAGCAACCCTACAGAGTCAGAAAATAGATTAGTAGTGGCTTTGGACTTGGAGGCAGAGAAGAAAGCAGAGGAGAATAAAGATGACTGCTAATGGGGATACAGTTTTGTTTAAGGAGAAATGAAAACGTTCTAAAATTAGACTGTGGTGATGGTTGTGCAACCCTGTGAATATAACAATTGAATTGTACATTTTAAATGGGTGACTTGTATAGTATGTTAATTGTATCCAATAAAAGTTTTAAACGACTAGCAGAAAAACTAAGTTGAAAAAGAAGGTAAGGGCCGGGTACGGTGGCTCATGCCTATAATCCCAACACTTTGAGAGACCGAGGTGAGAGGATTGCATGAGTCCACGGGTTCGAGACCAGCGTGGGGAACTTGGCAAGACCTCATCTCAACAATAAAATTTTAAAAATTAGCTAGGCATAGTGGCACATGCCTAGAGTCCTAGCTACTTGGAAGGCGGAGGCTGAAGGGATCACCTGAGCCCAGCATGTCAAGACTGTGGTGGCCGTGACCATATCACTGCACCCTAGCCTGGGCAACAGAGTGAGACTCCAACTCAAAAAAAATGAGTGTGCAGGTATCTTTTTCACAGAGTGATTTGAGTTCCTCCGGGTATACTCCCAGTAGGAGTCTGCGGGGTCATATGAAAGGTCGATTTTTAGATCTTTTAGGAATCACTACATTGTTGTCCAGAGATTGTACTAGTTTACACTCCCACCAACATTTTCACCGCATCCTCTCCAACATTTGTTGTTTTTTGAGTTATTGATGATGGCCATCCTGACAGGAGTTAGGTGGTATCTCAGTGTAGTTTTAACTTGCATTTCTTTGATGACTAGTGAGGCTGAGCACTTTTTCATGTATATGTTGGCTGCCCATATATCTATTCATATCTTTTGCCCACTTTGTAATGGGGCTGTTTGTTTTTTTCTTTTCAGTACATTTGAGTTCCTTATAGAACTCAAAAGTTAGGCCTTTCTCAGACATAGTTGGCAAATATTTTTTCCCAGTCTGTGGGCTGTCCCTCGCTCTCTTGATAGTTTTCTTTGGCTCTGCAGAAGCTTGCTAGCTTGATGAGGTCCCACTTGTTTATCTTATCTCTTATGGCATGGGCACTTGGGATTTTGATCAGGAATTTGTTGCCAATTCCAATTTCCACAAGGATGTCGCCTGCATTTTCTAAGGTTCTTATAGTTTGAGGTTTTATGTTTAGGTCTTTGATCCATTTAGAGTTGATTCCTTTGTATGGTGATAGGTAGGGGTCCTGTTTTAATCTGCATGTGGTCTACCAGTTTTCCCAGCACCATTTACAGAATAGATTCTCCTCTCCCCAGTGGTTGGTGGAGGAGGCTTTGTCGAAGATGAGTTGGTTGAGAAACAGAGGTTTTGTTTCTGGAATCTCTATCTTGTTCCACCAACTACATGCCATTCTTCTACCAGGCTGTTTTGATTACTGGAGCTTTATAATAAAGCTTAAAGTCTGGGAGCATGTTTTAAGTTGGAGTCTCACTCTGTCGCCCAGGCTGGAATGTAGTGGCACGCTCACAGCCACCCCAGTGTCAACCTGCTGGGTTCCAGTGACACAGCCACCCCAGTGTCAACCTGCTGAGCTCCAGTGATCCTTCCACCTCAACCTTCCAAGTAGCTGGAACCACAGGTGTGTAATACCACGCTGGGCTAATTTTTTATTTATTGTAGAGACGAGGTTTCACCAAATTGCCCAGGATGGTTTCAAACCCAGAGGCTCAGGCAATCCATTCGCCTCTGCGTCCCAATGTGCTGGGATTTACAGGCTGAGCCACCAAGCCTGGCTGGGTTTTTGTTTTTTTTTTTTTGCTGAAGTATTGGCTATTTGTGGTCATTTGTTTCCGTATGAATTCCTGTATTGTTGTTTTCAAGTCTGAGAAGACTGCTGCTGGTAATTTAATGGATATTGCATTAAATCTGTAGACTTGCTTCAGTAGAATGGACATCTTAACAAATGTTGATTCTTCTGAACCATGAGTATGGAATATTTTTCCATTTGTGTCATCTTTGATTTCTTTGAGCAGTGTTTTGTAGTTTTCATTATAAAGGTCTTTGACTTCTCTGGTTAGGAAGATTACAAGGTATTTCTTTTTTTGTGTGGCTACTGTGAATGGAATTGTGCTTTATATTTGAGTTTCTGTTTGTTTATTGTTGGTATATAGGAATGTGACTGACTTTTGCATATTTATTTTATACCCTGAGACTTTGCCAAAGTCCTTTATCAGTGCAAGGAGGTTTTTGACAGATTCTCTTGGGTTTTTGAGGTATAAAATCATGTCACCTGCAAAGAAGGATAACTTAACTTTCTCTTTTCCTATTTGGATACGCCTGATTTCCTTCTCTTGTCTGACTGCTCTAGCTAGGACTTCCAAAACTATGTTGAACAAAATAGTAGACCCTGATTCTTTTGCATTCTTTGGTGATCCCAAAATGAGTTGGTTAGGCACACAAAAACATATTCTCTGCAAAATAATTTGCTCTTAATCCATTTTCTTTTTTTTTTTGAGTTGGAGTCTCACTCTGTCGCCCAGACTGGAGTGTAGTGGCC